CCCCGCCTGGGATGCCAGTGTCCTGCCCATGTTTTGTGGCAGTCTTGAGTTCACACCACAGAAGGTCCTTCCTTTCCTGGCCTCAGTGGGAGCTGTAGGTCTCCCGGAGGGGCTCTGCAGCCCACACGGGCATGAGGTGCCAGGAGAAGGCAGGGAGAGGGAAGGAGCTGCCTCTGTGCTGGCCAGGGGGAAGGGGAGCTCCCAGCGAGCTTTCCCCCAGCTTCCCTTTGCTTCTCTCTGCACCCACTGCTCCCTGCATGGGTTCTTCCTTCCCTCTTGATACGAGGCCTTATTCCAACCGGAGGGGGCTGAGGCTGCCCACAGCATCTCTTTGCACTGAGGTGTCCATCCCACGCTGCCTGCGGGGAGCCCTGCTGCAGAGCTGGCCTCTGCTCAGGGATGGAGCCACCCCCCAGCTCATCCACACTCGCCTCCCCAGGGGCCTGGCCACCGTAGGGAAATCTGCTTTCATGGGGTTAAAGCTTTTTACTTCATTAATCACTCCGTGAAAACCAGTAGCTTTGCAGGGGCACTACATGGTTGCTACCTCTCCTCTTTTCCGTAGGAGTGGGGGGGCAGCTGATTGGCTATTTTTGGCCTCTGTAACCTTCTCCAAAACTTTTATGGAGGTTTTTAACATCCTTTGGTGAGATGCAGTCTCCGTGGAGCCAGAAGGAAGACAGGCAGCGGGGGTGGGCAGCCTGCTTGCCACCATGGCGAGTCGCTTGCGAGGTGCGTGGGCTGCCTTGGGTGGAAGGTGGAATGCCAGCCCGGGAGCGCCGGTGGGACACTGGCAGCTTGTCTGTAGTCAGGAGAGGATTCTGCTATACTTTTTTCCTGTCTGTAGGTTTTATTCAGACAATATGTAATAATTGAGTGATTTACAATTCAGTGTTAAGCTAATGAAAATGTTGATAATGGTGATAATAAAACCTTTTTTTTTTCCTACGGTGTGTTGGAGATTTTTTTGTGGATTGTCTCTTCCTATTCTGTTGCCACCACCTTTATCCTCAGCCTGAGCTTTCCGTTGGCCTATACCTTCTCCTCATGCCTAAAGGGAAGGAGAGCAGCTCAGCCTGTGTGCCCCAACACTGTCCCAGGCTCCTTCCCAGTGCTCTCAGTGGAACAACTCTCTGAATCAACCCCACCTTCAAACCCACTTTTCTCTGCGCCATTTCCAGATGTAATTTGGCCGTTGGCCTCTCCAGGTACAGAACCAAGGTCTCTCCCTGCTTGTGCTCTGCTCACTACCTCCCCAATCCTTCTGCTCCTGCTGTTTTCTTCCCAAGACCCTTTGTGGCCGTCACTGGCCATTCAAGGTTGATTTTGAAATCCTGGAGGTGAAGACGCTGCAGGCAGAAAAACCTGCCCCTGGCCCAGGCTGAGAATTCCCAGTGTCAGTGTGGGTGCAGGGGGAGCCTGGGCACCCCTGAGGAAGGAGGCCCATGGGTGTTACTGGGTGGGCAGCTACTGTCTTGTCCTGGATGGCTGCAGGCTGAGAGCCCTTGGGTGGGGAGCATCTGGGGGCTCTGGTGTGACTCCTTCTCTGGGGGTCTGTGGGAGGAGGTGGTGTGAGCGGGCAGGATTCCCTGGGGAGATGCCGCAAGCCCTTTTCCCATGGAAACTGTGAGGGATCAGAAAGTCCCAATTTACTGAGAATTTTTTTAAGGTTTTTCTCATGCCTACAAATCCTGCAGGTCATCGGGGTAAGGCAGCTTCCCGCCCACCCCAGCTATGGCCCCTGGGGCAGTGGTGGTGGAGGAGGGATGAGAAGAGGGTTTCTCCAGCAGCACAAGCATCTGGGAGGCAGCCCAGCCCAGCCTGGCACCTGGGGATGAATGGCATCTCCCACCCTCCACCCATCACCAGCTTCCAAAAGCAGGATGGGGCTCAGGCCGTCACTAAGCAACTCAGCTCCCAAGTAGTGCTGCTGAGCAGCAAGACCTGCACAAAAGCAGCAGCAGCAGCAATAAACGTGAGGTGGTGCCCTCCTTTCTGTGCTATCAGCTCGTTATCGGCTTCATTCTCCACCCAAGACAGGCTCAGTGGTGCAGATCTCACACCACCAGCCCCAGTGCCTCTGCCGGGCTTCACCTTTGCATCGCTGCAAACCGGGCACTGCGGCACAAGCACAGAGTCGCCGAGCACTGGCAGCGCCAGCTGAATCCAGAGGGGATGTGCAAGGCTGGCCCAGCCTCCTGCTTCCAGCCCCTGAAGAGGTGAGTTTCACTGGGGTAACGCCATCTGGGCTCCGACTTGTGCAGGAATTGAGGAGCTGCCTCTTTCCATGAGAGCGGATGGAGGGTGAGAGGGACCAGCTCCATCCTGGCCGCTTGGAGGGTGTCCCAGGTCCAGCGTGGAGAGAGCAAGAGATCTCTGCCTGCTGTGCAGCTCTGATGGCACCAGAGCACACCCAGACCTCGGGCTGACAGCCTTGGCGAGGGCGGGAGGAGCTGGGACACAGCAACAAAGGGCCTGAGCTGGTGGGATCAGTATGAAATGACACTGCTGAGGAGCCAATGGAAGCCTTGGGTTTAAGCCAGTTTTATGCACTCACAGCTTGCTTTCTTCCCCCTGTCTCCCCCTTTCTGTGTAAACACAGGCTCACACAGCTGGGCCAGATTCAGGGTCACCGGTGCGAAGTGATGCAGGTGCTGAGCACTTGGGGGAACTGCAGCCAGGGCATTTCAGTGGTGGGGGGCTCTCACCCCCCTGCCCTCCTGCCTGCGGGGTGCCCCATGCCCTGAAGGAGCCTCCAGGCAAAGGTCTCCCAAACCAGCCCCTCGTGCCAGCCCAGCAGCGGAGGTGCTGAGCATCTTGCATGAGTCCTGCTGCTCAGAGGTAGGAAGGATGGCTCTGCTGTGGCCACGGTGCACCCTCAGAGTGGGTGTAAAGTCCTGCCTCTGCCTCCATCTGGCTGGGGACCCTGGCAGGGAGCAGGCAGCATCAAAGAGCATCCCCCAAATAAAGGCACCAGGTGAGGACGCCCCTCACCTCCCCAGGCAGCACAGCAGCCCCACCACAGGCCTGCCATGCCAGCACTGCCCTGCTCTTCTGCCAGCCAGCCCCAGCAACTGGAGCTCCTGCCTGTGCCTTTACTTGCCTGCTTGAAGCCCAAAACCCAGCCATTTTAGAGTTTGGAACAATAAAGTCCTGGCTGTAACAAGCATGCGCAGACTTGGGGTTACATCAAAGCCCAAAGCTGCCTCCAGGGAAGCCCAAGTACCAGGAAAAGTTGGAAACATGAAGGCCACTGGCCAGGGAGGGTGGAGGAGACTCGTCATCCCCATGCAGGGGGAGAAGTCACCGTCCCTTGATGCTTCCCAGATGCTTCCCAGCTCTGGGGCAGCCACTGCACTTTCCTCCTCCTTCTGATGCCCAAGCATCCCACAGTTCTGATGCCCAGCAAATACCCACAGAGATAATACATACCCCTGGGTATAAACACCGCCTGTAGCCTGTGGCAGGGGAGCCCGGCCTGGCATACCCCTGCGGCTGCCCCCCCCCTGTAGCCTGGGGCAGGGGAGCCTGCCCTGGCATACCCCTGCGGCTGGGCAGGGCTGGGGTTTGGGGCTTGGGCACATCCCTCTGCTCCACCTCGTGACAAAGAACCAAAAGAACCAATGACCACCAGCTGGATTCACCTTTTATTAAACGGTCCAGAACAAAAAGAGGAGAGAGCAAAGCCTACCCTGAGGCCTTCCCAATGCTGGTGCTCTGCATGCCTTCCCCACCGGGAAAAGAGGATTTTCCTGTGGGGAAAACCCCTCAGGAAGTATTTTAGGTGAAACTAAGAGTGCAAATGCCCCTGTATATGGAGAAAACACATGAAGTGGAGCTGCTGCCACCGTCAGAGCCCAGTCCTGCTTTCTTGCAGATAAGACAGGATGGACACAGGTCAGGTTGGATGCACCAACTGGAAACAGCCTCCCATGTGGGGCCGTGCAGGTACCACATCCTGCCTGGGATGCACAGCGAGAGGAGACCACCCCACCTCTGATAACCCCAGCAGCAAGGAGCGCACACCCATGGGCTTGTGAATGGGGACTGCGAGGAGGCAAGGAGCAGGCTTGCCGGGCTGCCAGCTAGAGGACAGGTGGTGAAGGGTGATTTCAGCTAATGATCTCATTAGAGCCAAACCTTCTGCAGGTGGCTCTCTATGGTGCAGGGAGTCTCACCCTGGAAGCTCATCACAGAAGATGGCTATGGCTGAGTTGGAGAAGTTCAGCTTCTCCTGTGGAGGGGACACAGCATCCCACCAGCCAGCTCAGCTTGCAGGACCTACCAGTAGCAAGGTAAGGTGTGCGGGTGGGTGAGTGAACGGACCTCCAGCTTCCAAAAGCACTGTGCCAGCCACAAGCCTGAGCTCTGACCTGGAGAGCTGGTCAAGGGAGACGCACTGTTCCCGTGTGCTGGGCAGCACGACCGCAGTCTGGCCCCTCCTGCCCACCCGCCAGCTGCAAACCTGCTGTACAGCACTGACCTACCTGCACCTGCTGTCAGGGGGCAACTTAAAAAAACGTCAGCCCTGCTGGGCTCACTAACAGGGGCTTTGCTTTAGATATGCTCTCTGCAGGTGTCATCCAGTCCATGTAGCAAGAGGCATGTACTGGCAGCAGCCAAGCTGAGGTTAGGCAGGATGGGAGGGCAGCAGCACCTCTGTTTGGGGAGCAGGGAGGCGGAAAAGCAAACGTACAGCTCGCTGGACTTCACCTCGGGGAGGGGGGAGGCAAATCACCCATCATTGTCAGACCCAAACACTTGAACCTACTTAGGAGGAAAAAGCAAAGAAAAACTAATGTCATTCCATGCCTGTGAAAATGAATGATTATTTCTCAACGGGATTTAAATGCTTCTGATGAACCCTGCTTGGGGCTGGCTGCCAGCTGAAAGGGGAGAGGAACAGAAGAAATGAGAGCAGTAAGAACAACCTGACATCTCTGTTCTTAATATATCATCATAGTAAGACTCGAGCACCGAGTACAGCTCGGCACGTGCTCCTAGATGGATTTCCTCCGCAGCCGGGGGTGTTGCCGGCACCGAGGGCTGTTGGATGATAAAGTGCTCCCTGGGGAAGAGCCGGTCTGACCCCGCGTGCTCAGGGAGACCTCGTCGATTTTGTAGGAAATGGAGTTATAATACACAGGGTTGGTGTGGCAGCTCAGGGTCTCAGGGTGGGAGGGCACAGGGCTGCTGCACAGCTGAGGTCTGTAGCACAGGCACGTGCAGAAGGAGGGGACCGCGGCCGCCGAGTTGGCCGACTGGCGCCGCTGCCTCTCCGTGTCCTCCTGGATCAGTGGGATGAGGTTCATCTGGCTCGTCCTGTCCTCCACGGGGAGAAAAATGGCATTGTTGCCCCGGCTGTCCTCTTTCGGCTTAAGGTGGATGTTGTTCTGGGCTCTCCTCAGCGAGGCTCGTTCTTCAGCATCGCGCCGCTCGTCCTCCGAGTTCATCGTCAGGAACCGCAGCACCACCAGGTTGAGGAAGGCGCCGATGACGGTCAGGCCCACCAGGATGTACATGAAGCTGAAAGCCACGTACGGGGGCTTCTTTTGCAAAGCCTCGTTCTTCTGCAGAGCCACAAAGTCCCCAAAGCCAATAGTGGTCAAGGTTATGAAGCAGTAGTAATAGGCATGAAAGAAAGTCCAGCCCTCAAAATAAGAGAAGGCTGCTGCGCCAATGCACAGCGTCCCCATGCAGGACAGAAACCCGACGAGTACCATGTTCTCCATGGAGACATGGGTTGTCCTCATGCCCAGACACTTCTTGATCTTCTTGAGCAGCAGCCTCACAACAGTGTTCATGCGCTCCCCCAGGCTCTGGAACATGACCAGTGTCAGGGGGATGCCCAGGATGGCGTAGAACATGCAGAAAACTTTGCCAGCATCGGTGCCTGGGGCAGCGTGCCCATAGCCTGCAAAGGAAAGAGGAAAGGCAGGCGTCAAGCCCTCGCTGGGGTTTCCAGCAAGGCTGCCCTGGGACCAAGAGGAACACTAGAAGAATGGGGGGAAAACAGAAAACAAATAAGTATCAGATCTGCAGGCAATGCTAACAGGGCCGTGGGATGTCACATCCCTTGGGATGATGGCGCATGGCAGTACCATGTGGGCAAAACCTCATTTGGCCTCTAAAGAGAGAAGATACCCTCCTGACAGCCCCTGAGCTTGTATGAGGCCAAGAGGAGCCCTAGAGCTGCATCGGGGCCTGCAAGCCTTCTGCAGCTCACCAGCAATTCGGAGGCAAGGACGGCACGCCAGCCCCGGGTCTGCAGGACATCCTCCATCCCCACCACCTGGCAGCGCCAGGTCACCCTGCGGGAAGGTAGGCACCCAGCCAGCTCCAGCCACAAGTGCCCTCGCAGGGCTATCACCACGTCCCCTGATGCCCTCTTGTCCCCTCCAGTGTCACGTGCATCTCTGACTCTTGGCTCTGTGGTTATTTGCCTGTTGGATAGGAGCTATAGGGCCCCCACGTTATAGGGGTGTTCTGTGCAGGCGCAGCTCAGTCTGGGGAGGCTTCTGCAAAGCAGTTTTGGGTTTACTCCAGTGTTACCAAGACTAGACCTGAAGCACTGCTAGACCGTTGCGGAGGAGGGGATGTGCTGTTTTAGATGCAGGGAAGTATTTATGCCACCGCAGCCCTGTCAGCGCTTGTCCCAAGGAGCTCAAGGAGGACAAGGTTCTCCTTGAATACCTTCTGTGATTTAATTTCCCCACATTGCTCCAAGTTTCAGAGCTGTGACTCAAGGTCACACACAATTATACCGTGAGTCGTAATGAGGTATTCACCGCAATCTTCCGGACTTCGGTGATTCTGCACCCACCTCGCGTAATTATAAAAGCTTAACACAAATTGGTGGCCTCTGACCTAAGGGATGAGTAACTAACTCAGTGCAAGAGAGTCACACAGCGTGGGGAGTAAAGGCATCCAAATGCATCCAAGCCTTTCTTCTGAGTTTCTGTGAGAAACTACCGGGGCTGGAAACTTCCTTTCTGAAGGCACCTGCAAGAACAGCGTCGGCTCTCTCCCACACTGCTGCATGGCCTTTTGCAAACAGCTCTTTACATTTTCACTTTTTGCAGGTAAACACAAGACTTCTGCATGAAGATACGGGGAGAGGAAAAACCACAAACTTTTTTTCCAAGTCTTGTTTAAAGCTGTGACCTGGCTTCACCTCTGTCTCTGCTGCCAGTGGATTTCCAGGATCTTTGGGGAGCTGTTAGCATGTAGTGATGGGAGAGCGGAGGATGATGATTGTCCCAGGCTCCTGAGCACTGCTCTTGCTCCAGGAACCTCCTGCAAAAGGACAGGGCTGGAAGGCTGAGGACAGCATTATCCTCAGCCCTGCTGCGGTCAGACTGTAAACAAGCAGAAAGGGACCGGTTTCTAATTGCACTGTCTGTTCCTAAATCCAAACAATCAAAAATTATAAACTTAATGCCTGCATGCCATGTTTCATGGAATACAGAGCAGACATGAGACTGCAGTGACAAAAAAAACCTCACTGAGACCCAAGCTTAATAACCGAGTGCAATTATCAGGTCCTAGGCTACAAGATAATGCAATGACAGCAATAAGGAGATAAATATAATGATCTAGATGCACAGTAAGTGGAAAAACAGTTGTTGTGCTGTGAGAGACTGCTGAAAGAGCATTTGACCAATGCTTTCAAAATGACAAAGGGAATTAGAAAGAGTAAACATAGCTACATTAACGTTGAAACTAAGATTTGGAGCACGGCCCAATATAAAGTGATCTGACGTGCCAGCATTTTAGAAATATGGCACCTGGGCTGAAATTATTTATTGCACAGAGCGTGCGATAAGTGTAGCGATTGTTTGTCACAGTCAACAGAACAATAAATGTAAATGAAGCTATAACCTGTCACGAGATGATGGAGCTTTTCACTGAAGCCATTCATCCTGCCCTCCTGCTGGAGCCTGAGGCTACCCATGCCCTGAACCCACTGCTGCTTGCTGGGCACACGCTGCACAAACCTCACCCCACATCTCACGGGGGCATGTGGACCCCCCCCAGGGCAGGACCTGTGAGGTACATGTCCCTCTGCCACCTCTTGTCCCCTGGTAACACGGCACAGTTCATCCCAACAGCCCTTGGTCTGAGGGATGATGCTTTCAGCTACCAGATGTATTTCATCCGTCCCAAACCCCTCGGTGAGGCTGAGCCCCATCCCACAGACAAGGAGGTGGTTGGTGGCTGTGGAAGGGCAGGAGCCAGCCTCAGTGTTCCCGCCTCCAAAACACCAAAATCCCAGCAGGAGCAATCACATGAGCAGAGGATCCCACGCCTGTCTACCCCCACGAGATGCTCGGGCTGCATGGATTAATAAAAGTGGATTAATTAAACAATGCCCAACTCCCATGTGGCTAATCTCACCTAGAATTAAGGCAATCCTCATTCAATTTAGTTTCATTCTCATGCAGAACTGAAGAGGGCAAACCACGGCACTGGGCTCTAGGACAGGTAAGTGTGTCTACACAAGGGCTTCTTTCTCCTCCAAGCAAACTGACACCCAGCTCTCTGCAGGTTCCTGTGCAGGCAGAGCAAGGCTCAGTGTCTGGTGGCTCTCTTGGCTCTCTGAAGCAGGTCTTGTATGGCCAAACATAGTTTCATTCTCATGCAGAACTGAAGAGGGCAAACCACGGCACTGGGCTCTAGGACAGGTAAGTGTGTCTACACAAGGGCTTCTTTCTCCTCCAAGCAAACTGACACCCAGCTCTCTGCAGGTTCCTGTGCAGGCAGAGCAAGGCTCAGTGTCTGGTGGCTCTCTTGGCTCTCTGAAGCAGGTCTTGTATGGCCAAACATCCAGAGTTTTGAGCTGGCAAAGAAGGCAATGGTTCTTGCCCAGCTCTTCAGCCTGGCTTGCTGGCTACACCACTGCACAGAGGACAGAGGCAGCTCCCACGTCTGACCTCCCGCTCCCCAACAACTTCTGCAGCTGCCTGCCCAGAAGGTGCCTGCAGAAGCTCCGTGTGCTCCCTGGGACAACGCACACCTCATGTTTCCTGGCCCCGTCCATTGCAGCACCCCCAGCATCCCCCAGAACCAGGTGGCCCCCACCCTGCCCGTGGATCACCTCTCCCACCGCTGGGCTCTGGGGGTACCACAGTCAGCTCCTCGGGGGTGGCCCAAAGAGATTTCTCAGTCTTGCCAG